TAGGTATAATAAATAAATAAATACATACATAAACAGAAGCCTGGGCTCCTCCTCCCACGTCTAACGACCAGGCACTGGCCACAGCCTATTTACAGCTGGGGGGCTTAGGGATCTGGCCCCAATACTGTTACCCATCCTCATCTCCACCTGGCCTAGGGAATCCCACAAATGGCCTTCTGGGCCACGTCCCTCCATAGGGACTTGCTTGTCTATACCCATGGAAGGCTTGGCCCAGATGGGCCGGGGAAATCCTGGCAGCCCAGTGCTGCGTCCCTTCCCTCCTTTCCCGGGTGGAGGTGTGGACGAGGTCACTGGGATAGTTAAGGGGGAGAATTAATACTGAGCACAGGGAGCAGGTGCCAGCACAGGGAAACGTGGCCCCAGCTCTCAGACTACTCTCTGTGGCCAAGCCAGAGGGCTTGGGAAAGGCTCTCAGGCTCTGAGTCTGGGGCTATGAGGGTCCCTGAGGCCACCAGCATGCACAGGGCCTCAGTTTTGGCTGCTTCCAGAAAAAAAAAAAAGATTGAATTATATACTTGTTTACCAAAGTAACATGCTACTACCAAACTTAAGAAGTAACATGAATAAACAACTTACACAGTTAATGCAAATCATAAAATGGAATGTTAGAAATTCTAAAATCAAATATGCACCAAAGGAAATCACACCAAAATAATAAATTATAAATAAATAATTTTAATTAAATTATAGGTTAGGAGAAGCGGTGGAGTTATACACAGAAACCTAGCTGGGAAAGAGATCGAGAGGATTAAAAAAGTGACCAAGTGGCACACACAAATGAAAACGAACACCTAAAGGAAAGGACAAATTAAAGTTCACAGCACATTAAAATATAGTAACATTCTCATGCAAAGTAGGAGTGTTCTCAAGTTGGAGTAATAAATACTTAATAAATAAAAATCCTGGGTAGTTCAAACCAACAATCAAGCTCATTCCTACATAATCATTTTATCACTTTCAGATTTAAAAGGTATTCAAAAATTAAAACATATTGAAAAGGTATTTTTCTCCAGTAACATGATTTATACCATATGAAATGAAATCATTCCCAAAGATTAAAATCATCTGACCACATGTTAATCATCCTCCAACTGAATTTAAATTCAAATAATTCCAATCATTCATAAATTATTCTAAAGAAAAACATAAACCTATACAGATCTAAGAGTGAAACCATAATTAGTAAAGTACAAAGTTACATGTGAGACAGATGTGTGTTTAGTCTAACACTACTCTCACATGTTGAAATCAATACACATTCCGTTAAATTGGAAAGAAAAAAATTAGTAGCACAGACTTAAAATATGTAGTGTCAGTAAATAGACTCAAGAAAAGACTTAATTTTTTTCCAGCAAAAAACAGTTTCAGAAATTAATCTATTGAAACTACCTAAACTCATGATCAGGTTACAGCACTTTCTTTTTTAGCATGAGGGACTAAGGTCACAGAAAATGTAACCAAAATTAAAAAAAAAAATTTAGTGACATTATTTAGAAGGGTATTTAAAGGCAGCTATCATATCTTCTTCATCTTCAAATTTTGTCTCAATTCACAGCAAGGAGGTTCTTATCCAAAGTGGTTACTTAAATAGGTACTTAAATATTTTGAATGAATAAATCAAGGAGGGGGTTAGGGGCAGGAGAGTAGCAGGAGAAATGTGGCCTCAAACATGTATTATATCCGGTAGAAATTTCTATTTCAGTGACTAAAATTTTTACAAGCATACTAAAACAATGCATTAATTTGAGGCCAGTATGTATCAATTTTTGTCTACTAATTTAATTCTTTTCAGATATTTAATGAAACTTTTTACTTAAAAATGACAAACCTTTTAGAACTGTTCTTTCACAACTGTAAATCAAACACTAAGCATGGTAGTTCTGATTTCTAAAAACAAAGGCTTAAGACTTAGTGTTAAATTGGAACCCTCTCTATTGAATGAAGTACAGTGAAAAATTCTTCTTTTTTTTTTTTGAGACAGTCTCACTCTGTTGCCCGGGCTAGAGTGCCGTGGTGTCAGCCTAGCTCACAGCAACGTCAAAAAACTCCTGGGCTCAAGCAATCCTACTGCCTCAGCCTCCCGAGTAGCTGGGATTACAGGCATGCACCACCATGCCTGGCTAAATATATATATATATATATATATTTGTTTTGTTTTGTTTTTGTTTTTTTTGGTTTTGTTTTGTTTTTTTTTTTAGTTGTCCAGCTAATTTCTTTCTATTTTTTTAGTAGAGACTGGGGTCTCATTCTTGATCAGGCTGGTCTTGAACTCTTGAGCTCAAACGATCTGCCCACTGTGGCCTCCTAGAGTGCTAGGATTACAGGGTGAGCCACCACACCTGGCCACAGTGAAAAATTCTTAAATGACTTTTACTTAGCTAATCAATCTTTCTTTTGCTTATTTAACATTAAAATATGTCTAACACAGCAAACCAATAGTGACCAATCACCAAGGCTGCCAAAACCTGAGAAGTAATAGGAAAAAGTAGTTCCATTTTCACTCCACCACCCAATAATTTTTTCAAATTTTTCATGGGAAAGGAGAAAAATATTGGTGGTGGGGGGGAAGCAGAGACATTTTCATTCCATAGATGGTCTTTTTTAGGCCTCTACCATCATGACTCTAGGCCATACCTTAAGACTGAGGTTGTAAACAAGTGGCCTATAAACATGCTTTGTTCTGATTACTTCTTTTAAATAAAGTACCTCCCTCTCCTTCTTTCTTTAACTTGGCCACTTTCATTCATTTACATTATCCATCCAGGCCCTGTGGGCACTGAGGTCTTGGCCCCCACCCACCTATCTTACCTTTTATCAACTATAAGAAACTTCAATATAGAACCCCTAAAATTCCACTGTACTTCCATTAAATAAATGATTGAAATACTAACAGGGATAAGGAAGGAGTTCTTTGAAAGGTACACGGGGTTCCCTACTCATCTTTTTCATTCTATTCTTGATTACCAGATATCAGTGATGTGTGCTGACACTACCATTAAATTATCTCTAGTTCATAAATAGATATGACAAAATGAACTGATTTCTCTTTGAGGATCGCTGTATAGAATAATTTACTATGAGCAAGCATATTCATTTAACACATTAACTGCCATGTGAGTTGTATTTAACTCATTCTAGTTTTGAGCCAGGGGCCCCATGAAGCATATGTAACCCACATATCTCTTTACCTTGGGAGCCTCATGGTGCGTTGGCAACTCACGCTGTTGTGCTGTAGCATACGTGTTATATGATGGGTGGCCCCCCTGGGCAAAACCCCACAGTTGGTTCGTGAAAATCTTACTTGTTGATGTTCTCATTGTTACAATTAATATCGACAATTTAACTGCATATAATTCACGAATAGAAAACAATAAAAAATGACAAATTTTTCATTAAATTGAAAGGATTGCTGTATTTTCAAAGTTTCTATTTTATTTTCATAATAAAACACAGTGGCCCCAAGGAAAAATTTTTCTAGTGTGGCAGTCAATGTGTTAATGCACATCCACCCTATTTCATTTGGAAGCTGACTAAACTGACCTAGGAATAAAATTGTCACCAGAGACGCAGACAACGAATCAATCTGTAATTATGGACAATCAAGAGCTTCTAGACTAGATAATAAAATAGGTAGTTTGTTATCACCAATTACTGGGAGCCAAGGTGAGTGCACCAATAAGACATCAAATAGTATCGCTTCCTATTTAAATAATGACTACATTGGTAGATCAGAGGAATGTGGTAGAAATTATATACTGATTTTAGAAAAATCCTTCATGAAATCTCTGATAAGACATGAAGATAAAATGTGGGCTGGATAATAATATATTTTTAATTGACTGAAAAATCCTTCCCTAAGAATTCTGAACCTGACATTGGAAAAGAGTTCTGTAGCGGAATACTATAGGACTTGCTTTAGCACGCTTTCTCTCTCTCCAACCTCTAGGTATTCAACATTATTTTTTTTTATCAGTAACTTGAAAGATAAGACATATCTACCAAATTTGCAAATAACAGAATGCTGAGAGAGATATATAATGGGACAAATGACAGAAATAATGTTTGAAATGACTGATCTAGAACAAATGGATCAAAAAGAATATGACATTTAGTAGAGATACATATGTATCTGCATTTAGATTCAAAGTGTTAACTAAAAATGTCAAATACATGATTAGAAAGGAGGGGACATCTCCCTCAATCCCAGGAATAATATATGTTAACAGTGGGATGGGGCTGCTAAGTAAGTCATGCACTAGACAGGTGCTGTCCTAACTGTGGAACACGACTGCCAATTGTCCTGGACTAGACAGACCACATTTGGAGCACTGTTATCCATTCTCCATGGTACCTTTTAAGAGGTACGCTGAAAACCTAAAGGGCTTTCAGATAAGGACAACCAGGAATGATGAGGTCACTAAACCATCTAATTTAAGAAAAGGCTGAAAGAAATGGGGAAGTTCTACCTGGAGAAGAGAAAATTAGGGGAGACATGATGGCCGTCTTCAAAAGTCTGAAGGATTGCTATGTTGAAGAGGGAGTAGAATAGTCGTATGTTGTTCTAAAGGGCAGAACTAAAACTAAAGGAGAGAAAGTTACAGGGAAAACATTTTAGTTAAAAAAAATAAAAGCAAAAGCAAAAACCCTCTCCAATGAGGAAAGCCATGAGCAGATAAACAGCACTCTCTCAGAAAGGCTTGTAGGAAGGCATTCTAACAGGAGGTTAGGCCAGATGAATTCTAGAATCCTTTCCATTAATATTCCCGACGCTGGAGCTCCTGAACGTTGTTTGGTTTGAACTATCCTTGCACGTTCTCAGTCAGCCATCGTGAGAGAATCTGTCTGGGTTACTACTTTACAAGATGCCACTCAAAGGACAGAGGGAGAACTTTACCAGCAAATGAATGTGGTGATTCCTTCAAAGCAGTCACCTGAGAGGCTGCATTCTTATTCCAGAGCTGCTAGCACTCAAAACATCACTGAAACTCTGAGAATGCCTTCAAAATCTGTTTCTGACTCACATAAGAAATAGACTCACTGTATCATAGACACATCTACCATATTGCTGGCAGACACAAACTGTATCATCATTTGATACAGCTGGAGTCTAGCCCTCAGTGAGTGTCCAATGGTGAACCAAATAACTGACCTATTTCTAACCAAAATCTATTATTTAGCTTGATCATCCATTTTAATCAAGCACAGCTCCCAATGACTTTTAAATGATTTCAAAAACCTAATTCATCCTTAGACACATACAAATTTGATGTCAGATACAAATTAATATTACATAGGCTCTTAAATGATCACAAATGTAAAACTGATTTGACAAAGGTAGCATAAATAGAATAAGAATATAACCTTCCAAGTTCATTGCTTTGAGGGAATGTATACATCCTTTTTTTCTCTTTCTTTTTTAAAAGCATATTACTTTATAGGAATGTTTTTGGCTCAATTATAAAGAACTCAAAAGCCAGTAGTACAGATCTTTTTTTTTTTTTTTCCATATTCCTGTGAGTCTTTACAGTTACTATCTTCATTTCTAGAAACCATGTTCTTTCAAATAAATACTCCAGGTACTTAAAAGTAGAAGTAGATTATGATTATAAATGGTTTTGAGAATATAAATTTTTTTAAACCCAAAATACTACTCATATTACTATGGTTTTGATAAGATATACTAATTGAATATAAGCTGAGAATAGTATAACAGAATATCTTTTATTTGGGATCAGTGTGTCTTTTTCTTACTACAAAAGTCCTAATCTATTTTTACCACTCACAGCCAAAGGATTTTTATCTCCCTCTACATATTATCATCTAATAATAAAGATACTCCATCTTCCTTATGAAAAAAAATCCAAAGTCTTCTTTTATGGTCCTTTAAATATACCTATTAATTAAAAAACATTATTAAGGATGCTTCCCAAACTAAACATTGTCATCACAGTGAGGATTTTAGTGGAAGTTAGTTGGGCATCAGTCAGCTTGTTGTCTCTGTAGTGAGTATCTGTATTATAAATAGTTATCCATTTTTTTCTTTTGTATTTTAACAGAATGCCTGGTACCCAGTAAATAAAGTTAAGAACCTGTTAAGAACTGCAGTGAAGATTTTGTTCTTTACAGATTGCAGCAAGTCTGAGTTGAGGAAGTTCTGACAGATGCAAAATGTACACCTGTTGCAGGTGCACATACAGCGTAACCGGGCATGGCTGCGAAAACACACAGAAGGACAGGAGTTGAGTTCTTACTTACAAATATGGCACAAGTCAGGGTGTGCCAACTTAAAAAATATATTTAGGCATAAGCAACACTCTTTGTAGAAAGAAAAAGGACAGTGTGGCGCATGCTAAAGTTGTGCAGAATTCCACATTTGCCAAAAACATAATAAAAAGTAACAGCTTCCTCCTCCCTCCCTATAGAAAATCTAGGGAAAATTAAGCTAACGCTTTTGCTTTTTTTGGAGGGGGGATGGAATTATTTTTACATGAGCTTTAGTGGAATAAATATGCACAGCAATAGATGGCACCCTCGTCTAAATTAATAAAAAGAAAAGCTGAGTAAGCCATAGCACCCGCCAAAAGGATAAAGTTTGCTAGCATTTAATATAACATTCCCTCCTCCTCCTCCTCCTCCTCCTCCTCCCTCAGCATACACACATGCCTGAAAACCAGGAAGGAGAAGAATGACAATACACAAGAGTCAAAAGACGAGTATATTCAACCCTAAGAAGATATGAACAACATCGTCTTTAATTCATCAAGCACCCTGGCTCCCAAAGGAAATCAAGATGCTTCATAAATTTCTTCTCGAACAAAATATAGGGTTAATTTCATCTGCTACCAAAACACAGCAGCTAAGTATGATAGATAGTATGAAACTCTGGGTAAGGATGTAAAAATCAACAATGGATCCAATTGAAATTAGATATGAAATTTGGGGAGGCTTTCTGACTCCTTTCTGGTTGAGTGGAGTTGCACTAGTTGGTATAGACACATGGGACAACCCATTTCACCTCAGCGCTAACTACCAAAGTAGGGTGTCTCCAGTGACTGTTTCAGTGGTCAGAGCCACTCATTCATACAAAGCCATCACACCACCCACGAAGAGATACTGGCGCAGAACCCACTCAGAAGAGCGCCACCTGATGAATCAATGCCATCACTTCCTGTAACACCTGAACATTTTTACAGGCTTCTCAGTCAAAGGACTGGCCCAAACTGACTTGGCTTAGCTTGTGAGATCTGATGAGACCACAGCACACGGTGGCATGGTTGTGGAGATTAGCAGCATCCCAATAATGCCTAATTCCCAACATGAAGAAAAACAAGAATTAATTTTTTTAAAAACTTTTATAGGCTCAAGACATTCCTTTTTAAAATTTGACTTGTGATGATGAACGTATCACTGCTACTAAGTCACTGCCAGCTGTCATACTGGAATCCATCTGTTATTTTATAAATTGAATCTGACTCTTCAACATACACCAGGCTCCACCCACCAAAAAGGAGAGATGCAAAGTATGCTTAGCAACAGGGAGATGCTTCATGAGAAGTAGTTTGGGATTAACCATATAAACAAGTGTCCATGTATGTACATTTATCATATACACACACACACACACACACACAAAGAATTATAGTAAAATGTTTTTAAGGATGCAGATCTAAAAACATAGATGCAGTTACTTGCAAGATTTAAAAAGTACATTTACAAAGCAAAGAAGACACCATAATATATAATTAGGCAGTAAGCCTGACCAAGCAGTGCGTTTCTAGATAATTATTAAATGTTAATTATGGCAAGAAAGGAGATTTGGTCATCCTATAAGAAAATGTCAACAAAGTCCCCACAGAAGTCATAAAGAAAAAGCAACTTACAAAGCAGTTTTTAGAAAGACCCAGATTTTTCTCAAATTCTCTATTCTATCAGTGTTGCCCATGTCTCGGGAGAGTCTGTCTCTGTAATGATCCTCTCTGCAGATAACATACATGAGAGTTTTAAAGCAAAGGTAAAACATAAATAAGGTTTTGCTTATCTTATAGTAATAGGAATGACTTGTCTTCCAATACAAATAGAAATTCAAGGATTTGTTGCCTATTCTAAAAGTATTAGTTAATAGAAGACCAGTAAAGTTAACTTTGATTTTAAAAATCTATACAAATTAATACTTTTCTTAAAAACTTCAGTGTTGGTTTATAGCAATGTTTATTACTCTATTTTATACTGTTTTTATAAGAAGAAAAATAATTTAGAGATTAACATAAGAATAAATAGAATAAGCTATAAGTCCTGAGAAACGCACTGCCTGAAAAACTATTAATATTTTGTTACAAAACAGGATTTATACAAACACACTACTTTGAGGAGAATGCCATAAGAACCATGCAATTTTAAGGCAGTTAGTAAACTACAAAGATGACCACAGTTATGTGCTTGTGCATATGCATGTATAGATATATAATAAATGTACATGAAATTTGTGGCTCATAACACTTAATGCAAAACATTTACGTAGTGGAAATTACAAATTACAACTACTTTTTACAGCACTTAAAAAGACATACTGAACTCAAACATACCCATAATTTCCACATAAATTCATAAAAGATTTTGGAAACCTTCACATACCCAAAGTCAATTAATCAACAGAAAAATATAAACTTTTTGTTCATATTGAAATGCTTCATAAGCATAAAGCAACATGATGCAAAACCCACTTACTACAGTAAGATTATTTTTTATGTTGGGTAGGGGGCTGTGTTTTATTGTACTATCCTTATTAAGATAGTTACAGCCTGCTCAAAAATATACAAATATCAGTAGCATTGTTTACATCATTTCATTATGACAGCCAAACCAAACTTGCATTTACTCAAATTTGTACCTTCTCATTAAAAAGTCTCTTTCTGTTGCTGAACAACTTCTATGTGACAAAGATTTCCCCCTCATGGCTAATAATGGCATGCAATGTTATTATGAACCATGCAACATGAAAATGAAGACAGAGCAAGTACTTACGGGTACATGGCCATTGTTGTCAATTTAACAAAGATATCCTTACTGGGTGCATCGGCAGTATTGCAAGTGAAGGCTTGTGGTGGAGGCATTTTATGTTTCCTGCAGAAATCGGTAGGCGAAATACTATATTCTTGTTTAACTTCATGCAGGTCTGACTTTGCAGCTACGATTAAGCAAGGTATTCTGCTGTCCATAAAGTGTTGCTATGGAATAAAAAACAAAATCAAAATCTGATAACAAGTTTAAAGACTACTATTTAATTAAAGTGAACAAAATCTTCTCTGGATAGGCAAAACAACAATAGTTTCAAAGAGAGAAAATGAACCAAAAGGCAAAGAATGGCAGTGGTCTAGGTCAGACTCATATAATAAGTAAGACCAGGACCATTTTTCTAATGCTGATAACAACAATACTGATTCTTTAGATTATCTACAATGTTTTAAAATATACTTTTAAATTAAAAAGACACATTAAACGTTTTAAAATATTAAAAAGTCCATCTAAATTCTTCCATCCTAATGAAGACTATTTTCATTTTTTCATATTACCTCTAGTCTTTGAGCATATATATTTATATGTATATCTATATAACTATAGTCACACCAGACATAACCATTTAAAAATGTAATACTATTTCTTCCATGTTCTTCAGAACCCAAAACTATTATTTTTAATGGCTGCTTAATATTCTACTAGATTATTTTACCTTACTTTGGTAAATCATCCTATTGTTAGCCATCTAGATTATTTCCAGTTTTTTGCTATTAAAAGCTATGATAGAATAAATACCTTTGTACCTATAGTTTTTTACTCTTACTAAATCTTGTTGATAATCTCAAAATGACTGATAGACTTTGAAAATTTCTAGTTTATCCCCTCACTATGGCTGTTATTCTTGGTATAACTGGCAATATATAATCCATATGCATTTCTAAAAGCCAAGAGGACCCTCCATTAATACAAAAGTTCTTAACCGGGAATGCACATCAGAATCATGAGGAATTTTTTTTTTTTTAGAAATATGTATGTCTGGGACTCTACCACTTCAGAACAAAACTAGAACCTTTAGGGATGGGGTAGAGATGTCTTTAATATATATTTTTAAAAGCTCCACAAATGATTTTGTTGCATTTTTATGGTTAGGAAAGATCACACTGCAATTCTATTAAAACTAAATGTTTTATATTTAGTCATAGTCTGTAAGAGTAACAAACCTTAAAAATCCTGGCACAGTATTCAAAGGATTTGGGATTACTGACATCATATACCAAGCACACAACATCACAAATGATCTCAGCTTCAGTTAGAAATTCCGATTCTGAGATATCATGCAACTTGTAAAAAGAAAAAGATAATGAGAAATGTAAGTATCATAATATTGATGTATAAAGTCATGATGTTTTATTACTAGCTCAACTGGACTTCCTAATAAAATTGTACTAGTTAAGCATAACTTTCAGACCATTGTTAGGAGTACAAAGTATTGACAAACAAGTATCTTCTGATTCTGTAGATTAAAAATGGTGATTAACATTCTACAGACACTAACATTTAGTGAGTGGCTAATTTGTGGGGATGGTTCCTTTGCATGCATTGTCTCCCTTCTAAAGATAAAGATTCAGACTAGAAAGATTAAGGCAACTGCTCAGGGTAACACATCTAAGAAGTCATCAGACAAAAATCTGAACTCAGATGATTCGCAAGTCTATTTTCTTTCTGCTACATTACCTTTTCTCCCCACTAATTGAAAACAAAAAGCAAATAAATCTTTACACTAAAGTCATTTTGTTCTACTTCACTGCCCACTTTTTTCAATGTTTATTTGTAAAACCTCTTAAATATCCCATCTGTGATATGAAAATGATCCAACAAGAGTAAAACTCAGTACTGAGTTATTTAAGAGAGTGTGTCTTTGTTGATAAGATGAAAGGGGACACGTAGAGTCAGAAGTGACTCAATATATTCCAAATAAAACACTACTATAGAGAGCATAGTCAGAGACATGAAAGATATGAATTTGTAAAGATTAGTGTAAGAATAAGAAAACAGGAAAATTAACAGTCAACAATATTAGCTGAGTACCCAATATGCAGAAATATACTTACTAGAAAAAAATAGGAGACAAACAAGGTTTAATAAGAAACTGATAGCCCGGGCGCAGTCGCTCATGCCTGTAAACCTAGCACTCTGGGAGGCCGAGGCGAGAGGATCGCTCAAGGTCAGGAGTTTGAAACCACCCTGAGCATGAGCGAGACCCTGTCTCTATTAAAAATAGAAAGAAAATTAATTGGCCAACTAAAATATATAGAAAAAAGTAGCTGGGCATGGTGGCACATGCCTGTAGTCCCAGCTACTTGGGAGGCTGAGGCAGGAGGATTGCTTGAGCCCAGGAGTTTGAGGTTGCTGTGAGCCTGGTTGATGCCATGGCACTCTAGCCTGGGCAACAGAGTGAGACTCTGTCTCAAAAAAAAAAGAAACAGATAAACTTTTATCATAAAGTATATATAAAATTCAATATCACCTGGCAAAATAAACTATTTACAAAAATAAAACAAATGAGAGTGAACTATTTCTAGTACCTATTACTTGTTAGGAGACTCTCATATTGTCTAACAATAAGAAACTCAGGCTAGAAGGAGTAAGCCACTTGCCCAAGGTCACAGAACTAATCAATGGGGGGACCAGGGTTGAAGTTGAAATCTAACTGGATTCAGGAGAGCATATAACTTTTCTACTATATTTCATAGTATCATTTCAGTCAGACTCTTCTTTCATAAGTTTTTTTAGGTTAACACATTTTTTGAATATATTCCTCCCTGCTAAATAAATTTGATTCAGATTATAAACTACCAAGCACTAGCATTGTTTTCATATTAATTTCTAGTCAATAGTAGAGGAAATATTGAAACATTTTTTTAAAAATAGAAATGGAAGAAAGAGTAAAGGGGCAGTATTTTTGGTGTTTCTCTTTTTTGGTGACAGAGTCTTGCTCCGTTGACCAGGCTAGAATGCAATGGCATGATCATAGCTCACTGTAACCTTGAACTCCAGGGCTCAAGCAATCCTTCTGCCTCAGCCTTAGCTAGGACTATGGGCATGTACCACTGCACTCAGTTTTTTTTAAATTTTTTGTAGAAAAGGGTCTCGCTATATTGCCCAGGCTGGTCTTAAACTCCTGAGCTCAAGCAATCCACCTACCTTGACCTCCAAAAGTGCTGGGATTATAGGCATGAGCCACTGTGCCTGGCCTTAATTTTTTTTTTTTTTTTACTTTCTTATTATGGTGTAGCTAACATACAAATAAATGCACAAACAGATGAACTTTTACTTATATCTATACCCATGTAATCACCACAGATTATGAGAATTAGAATTCCAATGTATGAACAAGGTGAAAAAAATACACAAGTTCTATGTATATCCATTAATTCAAAACCAATTTGTTTTCAGAGTCACTAAAAATGTACCCAATAATTTATAATCTTTATATGCCATAGAAGTTCTTACCAACAAGTATTTCTCTTGTCCATATACATAAACAGTGTTAATCGCATAGTAGGATTTATGATCATCACGAATTTTCTTCTGCCTCTGAAAACAGAACCAAAAATCTCAATATTTACAGTCAGTGGTTTTCATCAACACACACAGCTCTGTGTGTATATGTGGGTGTGTTATAAATAAAAGGGCATTCTTTCCTACACTATGTACTATTTACCAGTACAAAGGAGATATTGATTTTATGTTTCTTAGTTCTTAAGATCTAAGACAACGGATGTATTTGTTCTGCATAAAGCGCAAGCAGTAGCTGAAAGGGAAGGAAGCTATATGCATTACTGAAAATATATTCTAGAGCCACCTACTGGCTAGCAATCCTCATTATACTCTAATTTGGCCCGATATAAAACTCATCTGGAAACACATTAGTCTTCTTATTCAAGGAAGTTAGAACTACTTATCAGTATTCAATTCAAAATATTTACTGTGCATTTACTTCATGCCAAGGACTGTGTTAGGTGCTTTCCCATGTGTAGTCATTTAATCCCCATCTAGACACTGGTTAAAAAAAAAGACAAATGATAGCTAACACCAATGAAAAAAAGATAGACAGTTCAACAAGATTACTGTTACATTTAGATTGTACTTTACAGGCCACTGAGTTCTAGAAATCATCTAAAAATGTTAATAGCTATGAAAATATGTAAATTTGTGACTCTAAAAATTTGTTGGATATAGTTCTATTTTCTGAGACCTCTTACCATTAAGTTTCTTCCAAGAAGAGCCTGAAGAACTCCACTTTTCCCACAGCTTTTCATTCCAATTACATTACATCTGAACACATTTCTTTGAGTCTGTTTTTTCTGCAGGTCTATTTTTTTATCTCTTGTTACTAAAAAGAAAAAAACTCACTAAATATATACCACTTAGATTCAATGAACCTCTCTATTATACCTTTTGCAAAGTAGGGTATTGCTATGTATAACTTTTGTGAAGTGTCTGATCTATAAACAAACATATTGTACAACAGTAAGACTGGATGTGAATAAAGTACTAAATATAATGCAGAAGGGCCTAACTTAGTAGAAAAGATGCAAGTTCTGAAAGTTGATTGTAAAATGAATTTCTAGTAACCAAATATTTTTATCACCATAAATAAAATATTCTATAAATGAATGAAAATTACAATGAATATATCCAATGTTATATCCCATCTAATTTCTTCTGTGATAAATTACCATAAATCACAAACTAAAAGAAGCTATTTCAAATCTGTAAAAAACTGAAAATTATACAGTATCTGTATAATGATACATTATTTAACATTAAGATATATAAAAGTATACTTATTGATATAGAAAGATGTTCACAATATGTTTTTGAGTGAATAAACCTCACTGCTGGCTAGTGATTAGTTTCTTACCCTCTGATGCTAAATTAAATACTGTCTAACTCTAATCGGTTAAGTACTTTAAAGCAGCAGTCCCCAACCTTTTTGGCACCAGGAACCAGTTTCGTGGAAGACAATTTTTCCACGGGGTGGAGTGGGCGGTGGTAGAGCTCAGGCAGTGATGCAAGCGATGGGGAGCAGCTGTAAATACAGGTGACATTTCGCTCACTCACAGACCAGGTGGGTAGGGGGCGCTCAGGCGCTAATACATGTCCTGGGGGTTGAGGGCTGTGGCTTTAAAGGGTATTTGCTCTGTCAATTTAAGAAAGGCTGTCTTCTTGTGCTAGAGCTTCCTAATCAGACATGATAGATTTTCCACCAATTGGGATATAAGAAACTCTTGAAATGATTGGCTCCTTAATTTATTATTTCCATACCTACAGGTTTTCTTTAAGTGAAGCACATAGCTTAGCAAGAATGCCTGGTTTACATTACAAGATCTGTGAAAGATTTATTAATATAGAAAAAGGATACAAAGCTGAGAGAAGTACAATTAATTCAAGATCAAGATCATATGTTCATAGGCTTGTTTGAAGAAAATTAAAATACAAGATAGAATGGTAAATCCTTACTAGCCCATAGCTCTCATTTTCATCAGTGGAGTATGCCAGGGAGTAGATGGGAAGCAGAATATCCATTCTTTCTTTTTTTCTTTTTTTGAGACAGCGTCTCCCTCTGTTGCCCAGGCTAGAGTGAGTGCCGTGGCGTCAGCCTAGCTCACAGCAACCTTAATCTCCTGGGCTCAAGCGATCCTCCTGCCTCAGCCTCCCGAGTAGCTGGGACTACAGGCATGCGCCACCATGCCCGGCTAATTTTTTCTATATATATTAGTTGGCCAATTAATTTCCTTCTATTTTTATGGTAGAGACAGGGGTCTCGCGCTCAGGCTGGTTTCGAAATCCTGACCTCAAGCAATCTGCCCGCCTCGGCCTCCCAGAGTGCTAGGATTACAGGCGTGAGCCACCACGCCCGGCCCATTCTTTCTTTTTGATAAACAATAAAATCAAGATTCTCAACTCAAAAGAAATTACTAAAACGAATAGAGTGTAAATGGAAGACATGAAGATAAGTTTATTTTTATTCTTTGTTACACTGGAAACTGGAATCTTAAAAAATGTTGCCAATCATAAGGTGAACAGTATCCAGATACTTACCTGTAATGGCTGAAGCTTGAGACTCTTGTTCAGTCAATATTGAATAGCCTAGATAGCCCAAATACTCCAGGCACCGCTGTACGTCTAAATACGTCGTGAGCCTATGAAAGGAATGAGTTTAAGATGTGAAAACTTCCTGAATGAACATTTATAAGGAAAAAAATGCCAACAGCTCAAAAAATTTTATGCATCATATCCAGATACTTTTTTTTTGAGACAGAGTCTCACTTTGTTGCCCAGGCTAGAGTGAGTGCTGTGGCATCAGCCTAGCTCACAGCAACCTCAAACTCCTGGGCTTAAGCAATCCTGCTGCCTCAGCCTCCCGAGTAGCTGGGACTATAGGCATGCGCCACCATGCCTGGCTAATTTTTTCTATATATATTAGTTGGCCAATTAATTTCTTTCTATTTATAGTAGAGACAGGGTCTCGCTCTTGATCAGGCTGGTTTCGAACTCCTGACCTTGAGCAATCGCCCGCCTCGGCCTCCCAGAGTGCTAGGATTACAGGCGTGAGCCACCACACCCGGCCTATCCAGAAAATTTTTGTCAGACTGCTTTAATTTCCTACGTGCCCAGCCATGGCTTTTCCTATACTGCTATTCTTAAGGCAGGGAAGAAAGGATGGAGAATGCAAGGGGTGGGAAGGTGGAATTCCTTTATCTACTCCACCTGCCCAAAAAGCAAGGCCACTCTGATGAGCAGTGAGTGGCTGGTAAAATCTAGAGTGGAAATATTTTATATAATCTGCTTCCCAAGTTAATATCCCACAAATATTGGCTTGTTGAGGACTTAGTGATAATTAAACACATCTGAAAAGGTTTGACAAAGGCACAAAAATAACTGAAAGGCATGTGAAATTAATTAGCCTTTCTTATGTATTTGAAAAAAGACAAGACCCTAATGATGAGAAAGTTAGTCTCACCAAGGCTAAAGCAATTATGTCACCTTGCATGATCAGAGGAGTCCCTTAATATCCTAGGCATAATGTTAACGATGCTATAACTAGGTTGCAGACAAATCCTAAGTCTCATTAAGAATTCTTTACAAAATAGTTGATAAAAATAAAAAAAAAAAAAAGAATTCACCAAAAACAATAACAAAAAATGCAAAACAAGTCGTCAGTTCCAACTAAAATATGCTTCTTCCCATATTTTGAAGGAGTAAGAACTGTGCAATAGCAATGGCATTTCCAATTCCCTTAGTCAAACTAAAAAGTACTAAAATTTAGTATAGTTTTGATGCAAGACTTATTACTTTTTCCCTGTATGTCACCCAAAAGAAAACAATCCCTACTGGATAAATTTATAGAACATCTATAGTTCATCTTAGCAATAGCAGCAGCACAATAAATCCTGCTGAGAGGCAGCTATGACTGAAGCATTTTATAAGATCTGATAAGCTTACAAAGTGACAAATGTAATACACCATAATTTTAAACTAGTTGTAACTCTAGAGGAAAGAGGTGAGCTCTATACTCACGTCCACTGGGAAAGGAATCCCTGGTAGGTTATCCAGCCTCTTTCATTGGTACAAACTGTGTTATTCACATCTGGCCCCCAGGGTATGTAAGGGAAAACTTTAAATAAATCTTTAAGCTCATCAGGTGACAAAGCACAGTCTCTATCCTGAAGATACACAAGGAAGCATACATAATATTTAGATACCTAAAAGAATAATTCCCAAACACAAAAGCCCTCTAATCTAGTAAAGCCATGCTTCTAAAAACTAATTAACAAACGACAAGAAATATTACATTTTATTATGAAAATTCCACATGTGTATAAGAAAACCTATGAAAGTGTCTAGCAGATACTAGACTTTTTCATCTTGAGAAAACAAAAAAAGTAGATAGCAAAAAAAAAAAAATCTCTGCTAGTTTAAGAGAGTTTGAGTAATTTTTGGTTATATGATGTAAGCATCCCATAGCTAAGAGAACAGAGTTAAATCACTCACAGAAAAATATTTGCTATATATCATGGAAAATTACAGTTAAATGCTTACCAAATCATGTTTGTCAAAGGTGCTTTGGAGAAACAAATATGCATGATGATTTAATTCAGTAGTGCAATCAGGAGGTATTTTTAGCCTGTTGATAAAAAGAATTTAGGAGTAAAATAAATCAATAATCAAATATTAAAATTTAATTTAAAAAATGAATATACAATTTCAATGAGTCTTTCTGTGGGATGACATCATTTACAAAAATATCTTCATTGGCACTATTTAGACTTCCCCAGGGGAAAGTCTCTGGAGTGGTTATGGAACTCCTCAGAAGAGTCATAACAATGCTCATTCCAAAGCGACACATGATGTTTTCTTAACTATCAGAAGGGCAGGTTGACATAAAAATTTTACCAATAATACTGATTAAACTGTAATGTGTTTGTTCTTCCTATGTCTAAATTATAAGTCATAATTGTGAGCTTTATATTAATTCCAACATTGTAATGAGTTGCAAATGATGTGAAGAGATGTTATTTTTACCTGATTTGACCTTCTAACCTACCTTAAATTCAGTTCAATAAACAATAACCAAATGCATGGTGCTAGGTACTATGGAAACAAAAACAAGACTCCCCACTTCTAAGGAACCACATTCAGGTGGTTCAACAGAATGAGGCATATGCCAAAAATAGGTTAAGCTAAGGACGCCAGGGGAGCCCATGTGAAAGGGGAGACTGGGGATGAGAGGCCATCAACACTGCTAAGACACAGTCACTTGAATTGAAACTTGAAGGATGAAAGGCATTGATTAGGTAGGGGGAAGAGGGTGGGAGAGAGTGAAAAAAACATGGGCAAAACCCTGGAGTAGGAAACGACATGTGTTTGGTGGACTATAAATAGTTCAGTATTTACTTCCAGGATGAAGGCAGAGAGTGAGCATGAGCAGAACAGATTACGAATGACCTCATCCACCCATGTTAGGAAGTTAGGAAGGTTGGGCTTTATCCTGTGTCTTGAAGGGCCAAATTTGTATTTATATATCTACTAATCTAGCAGCACTGCAAAGGACAGAGGCAGACAGATTAACAAGCTGACTAGAGAGATTGGGGGGGGGTTACAGGGGGCTATTTTGCAGAAAACTAAAGGTATACAGCATAAAGAAACTGAAAGAGATGATTAGTGTAAGCCACAATGCCGTAAGAGATGTAGTTTCCCAAATGTCATACTTAAGAAAGCAGTAAGCAACCTCCTGTAGAATTTATTTATTCACATTCAAACAGGACAGAAAAGAAAACTAGATGAAAGGGCCCTAGGACAAATTCATTCATTCAGTACATGTTTATTGAAAAATCTGGGAAATTAACTTGAGCCAAGATATGGTTACTTAGTTGAGGGAAATTTCAATTTAGAACTGATTAATGGACTAGGAATCTAATCAGAAAGCACTTTGCTTCCTCCATGATGGAGAAAGAAAAACAAGAGGTATTCTGGAAACATTACAGAGATAGCTGGAGGTGCTATGCTGAAAGAAAAAAGGATAGAGGTAATGTACCACTGAAAATGTGAAGAAGAAAGGCTGAAGACTCCAAGGCCAGATCTTGGCAAGTCACCATCCCTGAAAAGCCTGCTTCCCATGGATGTAGAAGAAGCATCATGTGGCAAGTCAGTCTCCTGTTTGTGGGTGGCACTAGGTCCATTTTTAAACAAATACAACGTAAACATAGCATTATCAAAGGAAAATAACCACAAATAGACCGGTTGTTTAAGAAAAATAGTTACTTCATCCTGAGCTAAGAACAGGCTATAAAACTGAGAGAGGAGAGGAACTGATGAAAGGAAAGAAAAAATGATAACCAACATATTTGTGATCTCTTTATTCCGAAACCAAGTTTATCTAGCATCTTCTTCTCCTTCTTCAGTAAAATGAAATTTTAAAAGATATTTGTATGCTCCACGAAAAGAGGAAAAGTTTGAGCCATACTATAAATCAGTGGTTCTCAACTGGTTTTGCTTTTAAAGGACATCTGGCAATTTCTGGAGATAGTTTTGGTTGTCACAACTAGGGGAGGAGGCGTTACAAGCACTAAGGATGTGCCAAACATCCTACAATGCACAGGACAGGCTCCACAACAAAGAATTACCTGGTCCAAAATGTCAACAGTGCTAAGGCTGAGAAACCCTGCTAAACCTCAGCTACAATTCTAAATTATTCCTGGGTAACTTGAAGCCTACCTACCTATGTACTAAATAAAACTTAAAAACACTTGGAAAGTAAAATCAATTGGAAAACAAAAGGTACATACAGGGGGAATAAATATTCAGGTGTCAAATCCAGATCATCATCATAACCAAATCGTCGAAGCACAGTCCAAGTAGTTTCGTGTCTCCCTCTCTGGATAAAAAGTGTGTGTAAAAAGAGAAAACCTGAAAATAAAGTAAATTAGTAAATACAGTTGATGTGAAGAAAGGTGCAGAGTCACATGGGAGAAAAGCATGTAACATAATGGCAAGAGCTAGATTTGTGAACATATGTATGCTAGCTTTGCACAGTAAAGGTCAAAACAAAGTTCACAAGTGTCTCCATGAAACAGAGCTGATTTCAGATTCATTTCACAAATACACCCAGCTCAGCCAGGGAGAGCTCTGGAGGAAAGGGCCAACATTACCCCCCAAGGAATATACCCACATTCACAAAGTTATATAACAGAAACAAATGAAAATGTTTTATAGATCTTTGAGCTTATTTCTATAATGGAAAATTCTGGTTTTCAATCCTATTTCTTATTTCACTGTGTCTCTATAATATATTCTAGAGGGAACATCTTATACTTGGTAAATTTGACTCATAGACAAAAATTCCCTAAAAATAAGTACTATTTAAAGGCTGCTTTTAGGTAGGAAGAATTTTAAGATATTATTTGTTTGCCCTAGATATCTCTTTACCTCAGATGGACCCTGCATCCTTGAGATCCAATTTCCCTACCCCTAATTTAAACGGACAGTAAGGATGATAATCCCCAACAATGGCCTGTCTCTTCCAACTCTTAAATATCCAAGTCAGATTTTAGGAATATTAGTAAATACTAACATTTCCTTAAAGTATAAATAATGCAATAAAGACCTTCACCTTCTGCCAAATTTGGAAAGTAGTTATGTTGAAAAGGGGGAAAAACACCATTGACCCACCTTTCAGTGTCAATCCACTATCAGCCACACCATCACTTATATGTTTTCTGACTACATTCTTGACATCTTCTAGAGCTTGAGGAGCTAATGGAGTATTGAAACAAATTCTCTAGCAAAAAACATAAAAATAAATTTTTTTAAAAAGCAGCATTAAAACCACAAATAACATAAAATAATCTACAGCTTTAAATCAAAAATTTGCAACCGAAAGAAAACAAATTCTACATTAGGATAGTCTCCACTTTGTTTTATTTATGTAAAACATGTCATACTTAGAAAGAAACTTTGCTAACTTCCCCTATCCTATTTCTAAAACATTGAGTACTTTGTGTGGCTATATTATATAAAACCCAGAAAGCAAAAATAATTCAGGGTTCAGATTTCAAGTCATCCTTAATACACCCACTTTTATCACTTTATACCATGGAATGAAACCATCAAAAACTCTCTTCAATTCCTAAGGTAGTTTTATAGCCTAAGTAAAGGCTATTTAAGTTACGTAAGCTTGATGTGAAAGATAGTTTTACATGAAAGAGACATATGTTTGTCAATATATTGTTTTTGTTTTTTATACTAATAAATTTTTTACAGCTTTTATCAGAAAAAAGACAAAGATATGCAAATGTCTGAAATAAAAAGACAGCTACCTGAAAGAAGTTGAGTTCGGCATCATTGAGGGTGCCATCATTATCTTGATCAGATATTTTAAATATACGAGTAAGGGCTTTTATACAGGCTGGTTTCATCTATAAATCAATGAGAAAAGAAACACATGTTTTAATTAAAGTAGGATTTTAAAATGTGATTTTCATAAGCAACGCTGGGAATATTATGATTGTTTTGACATAACATTAAATACACCCAACAGGAAAAATTAACTAAAGCAAAGCCATTTACTTTTATACTCAAGTCATTTTAAGTAAATGAGGCAATTTTTACTTGTGCTGATATTTGGAATGGTCAAACTCTCCCTTCATGACCACAAATCCTCTAAGGATAGGCAAAGAGAAGTTCATCTTTAGGAGAGATTCATTCTTCCAGTCACATAAAGAAGAACTATTTATTTATTTATTTATTTATGTCCTCCCTCACTCCATAAAGAATTTGAGCTGAATCATAAAACTACTAAGGGCTTTTTCTTTCCAAATTTCTGGTTTCTGACCATCAACCTTCTGGTAGCAGAACAGGACTTGTTTTGATCTGTCTCTTGTGTGTGTATATTAAAGTTGGGATATAAAATGTGCTTATTTATAAATAAGTGGCAAGATATCCAGGTGCAGTGGTTCACGCCTATAATCCTAGCACTCTGGGAAGCTGATGTGGGTGGATCATTTGAGCTCAGGAGTTCGAGACCAGCCTGAGCAAGAGTGAGACCACATCTCTACTAGAAAAAAATAGAAAAAAAAAAAATAGCCAGTCAACTAAAAATAGAAACAAAAAATTAGCCAGGCATGGTGGCTCGCACCTGTAGTCCCAGCTACTTGGGAGGCCGAGGCAGAAGGATTGCTTGAGCCCAGGAGATTGAGGTTTTCTGTGAGCTAGGGTGACACTACGGCACTCTAGCCCGGGTAACAGAGTAAGACTCTGTCTCAAAAACAAACAAAAAAGATATCACTGGCTAATAGATATAAAAGACTTACTAACTTCCTATTATAAGAATTATTTAACATTTTTAAAAAGAAGTTTGCCTTTTATGACTCTAAAACTTTTATAAGGAATGCTGCTGGAAATATATTTGCCAACTTCCTTAATTTTTGTTTTAGGATTTATAATGGATAGAATATTTCATTATTTAAAAATAAGGTCCACATGTTTCTACTTTGTATAATGACTACAGGGTAATCACTGCCAAAGATTTTGAGAATAAAACTTACAGGAATGTTTGCTCCAAAAAACTTTCTTAATGGTGTCTGGGAGCTTAAAATAAATAAGATCTTTGAACTCTGTGTAAGGTTGGAGGTAGATCTCTTTCAGATCTATCCAAATCAGAGAAATGAGATGGCAAGGTGAGAAAATGTGTCCTTAATAACTAAGAACTTCAGCCATATGGCTATCCAAAGCAGAATGGTAAGGATGACAGCTTTGATCATGCTTTCAAACTTGAATGCAGAAAAGAAATTCTTTAAAAAATAGGAAAGGAAACTGTTACTTTCCAAACTTTTTTTTGTTTTAAATGGCGTCTGTGGGAGAGCAATTTGATATAGTGAGAAAAAGATAAAATGTAAGATATAAAGAGATTAGAAGGAAATGAGAAAAAGAAGTCAAACATTTACAGAGGATTTGATAAGGCCTCCTTTATAAGAGTACTAAATGGAATATAACCTATAACATCTACAATCATGGGTTATTTATTCTTAAAAATAACGAATGGTATACAGCCAAAGGCTTTCCAAAAAAAAAAAAAAAAAAAAAAAAATACCATTGTTCTACTTAATGGATTTATTCCTTCACCAGGTATGTTGGTCCAGTGAAAAAAAAAAAAAAATAACGAATGGTAAGATATCACTTCCATAAATGTGATCTTTCTATTAGACATTCCAGGTTAATTATAGTCTTATATTTTACTTGCCCCCCCAAAAACCTATTATATAATAATCTAAATGTTTCCAAAAGTAGTAATAGCTAGAATGATGTACAAAACAGAATCTAAAAATAACCTTTTATTTTTCCTCACATACTAAAAGGCTACCTTTAAAAAAAGTAATTTAAAGACAGAAACATAAACAGTGATGTATTTTTCATTAAAGTTTGATATGAATCAGCAGCTAAAGTACACTAAGGTATTGACCCAATGTGATATTTAAATACTAATCATCTTAAAATAGAATACCCAAAAATTATCACTATTAAAATATTAAAAATTATACTCAATAAAGCTATAAAAATTTTACAGTAATGAATTAAAAACATGTATATAAGTAATCTAAATCCTCACACAGTAAGCACAATTATTATATAATAATCACATCTATTTCATTACTAGGTAAGCTGAGGGCACCATGGTTCACACAGAGTTCATCATCACTGGAAACATATTTATAGCTCAGGCTTTAATTTTGAATATGATCTTTTTGATGATTCCTCCTCAAATCCATATTAAAAGCTTATTATTGCAAAGATTCTGGTTTAGGCTTAGATTTAAAGTTTGTACTTTTTTGGTCCCCCAATCCTGGTACGGGTCCCTGTGGCCTGTTAGGAACAGTGCTACACGGCAGGAGGTGAGTGGCAGGCTATCAAGGGAAGCTTCATTTGTATTTACAGCTGCAGCCCATCACTCGCATCACCACCTGAGCTCTGCCTCCCCACCCTATGTCTTTCCCCCCTCCCCCAGTTCCATGGAAAAATTATCTTCCATGAAACTGGTCCTTCATGCCAAAAAGGTTGGGGACCACTGTTGTACCTGTGTAAAATTAAGTACAGTGGAAAAGGTTTTTTGTTTTTTTTTTCATGATTTCAGGTAGATTTAAAAGTTGATAATTTTACCTAAGAAATGAGTAACAGACAGTGGCAGATGTTTTACTCTTGTGGGACTGGGGGCGGGGAAGAGGGATTAGCAGATTAGCAGAACTAATAATAGGGCTAAGAACAAAGTGGCAGTTAAAAAATTGAGAACAAACTAATAGAGGAGATTTAATATACTGCTAGGCTAAGGCCTCAGAGATAAATCCTTACAGTGTAAGACTTGTTTCCCAAATTTCCTTGATCACAAAATAAAGCACCTGGCTGAATCAGAATAGAATCTGTTTTTAAACACACACCCCTGTTACCAGGTGACCATTATGATAAGGCAGGTTTCAGAAATACTGGATTAAGAGAAAATTAGAAAGAAGCATCCTAATTAAGGAATACGAGTAAAACAGGGTCAGATTAAGGGATAATTCAGATTAACTACTTATATCAGCAGTTGGCACTTTTTTTTTTTTTTTTTTTTTTTTTTTTTGGGGGGAGAGCTTGAAGTAGAAAGCAGTTGGCACTTTTTGTGTAAAGGGCCATGCAATGAGTATTTAGGCTTTGGGGCCAACAGGCTAAACCAAGGATATCAGGTAGGTACTTATATGGCAGGAAAGAAATCAAATTTCCACCAAGTTTTTATTGACAAAATTCAAAGTATAATAACTGAGTATAACTCTGCAATACAGATCTAGTAATGAGAAGAATGGAATTCTTTTTGGAAGGATAATATTTTGCTTAACGGATTTGAAGTTAGTGTTCTCTACCATGACGATTAATTGGAATTGTTTATATGTTAGTATTGATCTATAAAAACATTTTACATGTTTCATCTATGAAAATGTCTTTTTGCACAAATATATACTACCAATACTGATACATACCTACAAAACTATGAATTTAACAGAGTACATTCATTGCTTGGAAGGCATTTATAGAATTACATTAGATTCTTTTCTTGATGTTTGCCTTTTAGCATGTCATTATACTGCAGATTAATCAGTTTCAATTGAAAGTTAGGTGGAAACTCAACTGCATAGTTAAATAGATTATGAAATAAAGAAGTTTCCTTTGCTCTTGCATCAAGGTCCAAAAAAATTGATGCTGGAATTGTAGTTTGAGTTTGGAATATATATATCTGCTTTCCCATCTAAAAATGCACTTTTTTCTTTTCTTGTTTTGGCATGATGGATGCGCAATGAAAATAAATAAAATGTCATGGTACAGTGATAAACATGATACTTGAAATGCTGTCAAGTTATAACTGTGTCAGTACAATTAGGAGTGCACTGAGCAGCAGTGATAAGAGATGAGAGGACCACACATGAGCTATCTTGAAAATATTCAATTCTGTCTTTATAGCATGAAAACAGCCATAGACAAACAGAAACAAATGTGCATGGTTGTGTTACAATAAAATTTCATTTATGAAATGATAAAGTTTGAATGCAATATAATTTTCACATGTCACAAAATATTTCTTTTCGTGTTTTTTCAATCATTTAAAAAATGCAAAATGTCGGTGTGGTGGCTCACACCTGTATTCCCAGCTACTCCGGGGGCTGAGGCAGGAGGATCACTTGAGCACAGGAGCTGGAGAACTGCAATGAGCTATGATTACACCACTGCAGCCTGGGCAACAGAATGAGACCCTCTCTCTTAAAAAAAAAAATGTAAACTGTATTTTTAGCTTACAGGCTATACAAAAATAGGTAGCATGCCAAATTGGGTCATAGTTTGCCAACCATTCATGTGTACTATAAACATTTCTTGAAAGAAATTGGCAACTTTTTTTTTTTTTGAGACAGAGTCTCGCTTTGTTGCCCAGGCTAGAGTGAGTGCCGTGACGTCAGCCTAGCTCACAGCAACCTCCAACTCCTGGGCTCAAGCAATCCTTCTGCCTCAGCCTCCTGAGTAGCTGGGACTACAGGCCATGTGCCACCACGCCCGGCTAATTTTTTCTATATATATTAGTTGGCCAATTAATTTCTTTCATTTTTAGTAGAGATGGGGTCTCGCTCAGGCTGGTTTCCAACTCCTGACCTTGAGAGATCCCCCCACCTCAGCTTCCCAGAGTGCTAGGATTACAGGTGTGAGCCACTGCGCCCAGCCTATTTGTGTGTGTTTTTAAGTCTGTATTTTATAAGAGCAAAGCAAGTAGAGCATTAGCCAAGCCTTTGAATTTTTTTGCTATTATTGCCAATTCTTCCATTTATTTTAATGGCACTTCCTGCAATAGTATTTGATGTGGAAAATAATCTAAGTATTTAATGTGAATGTCATTGAAGAAAAATATCTTAAAAATGTAACCATTTAGAGTAAGCAATAAATTTAAATTTCAACAGTTTCATCCTCACAAAAATACTTAAAAGTTAATAAAAAATCACTACCATACTAGAGTTACTTACTACCTACACATTCTAGCCCCTATAAACACAGCCTAGGAGGTTACCTCCTTCTCCTCTGGGCAGTACAGGGGCCCTGTAGGATGAAGAACAGCTTTCTGTGCATAATAAAAGAGCTCTGATATGTTCTTCAGGTTTTTTGCTGAACACTGAAAAATAAAGTTTAAATTTTACATTCTGAAGTCAATTATGACATCTAAAAACAATTTTCAAACTAGCAACATAAGGTAACAGTAAGATTCCTTGAAGAAAATGAAAAATGCATTTTTCTTTGTAGACATCACAATGTGAATGTCTACAAAGAGCTCAGGTACCAGCTCCAAGTTCTCTGTTTTATCTGGTTTACAGGACTTCACAAAGAAAAGGAAATTTATTCCATCCCACATTGTCCCCCCACTCCTATTCAGAATCTTAATTTAGTGAGAATTCACCAAAAATAAATTTTCAAATCAAATGATGGGCATACCTCCACACAGGTTTCTATTTCGGTATACTGGTTCATAATAGGAAGGATGGTTTCCATACTACTATATTCCACCAGATCAGATTTGTTCCCAACCAATATTAAAGGCAGCCTGAAATAAACAGGGAACATTGTAATAAGGAAGGCAAAAGATATTAGATTTAGATTGGTATTTACATAATAACCCCTTCTTCCCCACTGTAAAATGGGAAGCCACTGAATGGTTTAAAGTAGGGTGTCAACATTTTAAAAACAGTGATTTGTTATCTTCTAGAGATATACATTGACATATGTATAGCATGATATCTTAATTTGCTTCAAAATGATACCAATGGGATGGGTAACAGATGAAGTAAGACTGGACATTAGCTAATCATTGTTAAAGCTAAATGACAGACACACAGGGATTCATTATACTATTTGCTCCACCTTAGTATATGTTTCTTTTTCTTTCACTTTGGATCATTTACAACAAAATCTACCTTGGTACATTTTTTTATTAAGAAAAAAATTCTCTAAATGTGGTGACTTGACTTTAAGTTCTTTAAGTACGGTGACAGTGAAGACAAAAATATTCATATTTGAGATGTATTTTAGAAGAACTGATAAGAACAGCTGATAGATTAGATGTGAAGATTGAGGGAAAGGAAGAAATTAAGAAAAATATACAGGTTTTGGCTGAACAAAATGGGAAGATCTCGTAACACTGAGAAGATTGAGAGGGCTTTTTTCCTTTGACAACAGGTAGGCAGGGAATTAAAATTTTTATTTCATACAAGCTAAGCCTGAGAAGCCCATGGGGAAATATAAATGGGGATGTCAAGAAGGACCAGCCTAGCAGAGAACTGCTGTGAATCCTGCAAGAGAGCTTGGAGGGGAAGCAAAATCATCTTTTTTGAACCACAGACTGCAACAGAAAGACCTGAAAGCATTTAGCTTACCTAACCCTTGGTGTGATCATTATGCTTAAAAGGACTGGCCCATTACATGCCCTAAATATAGACTTTTTTTTTGAGACAGGGTCTTACTTTGTCACCTAGGCTAAGTGCAGGTTCACAGCTCACTACAACCTCAAACCCGTGGGCTTAAACAATCCTCCTTCTGTCAACCTCTAGAATAGTTGAAACTATAGGCGTACATGACTACACCCAGCAAATTTTTTTATTTTTTGTAGAGACAAGGTCTCACTATGTTGTCCATGTTGGTCTCTAACTCCTGAACTCAAGCGATTCTCCTGTCTTGACCTCCCAAAGTACTAGAATTACAGGCCTGAGTCACTATGTGCAGCCCATAAATATAGATTCTTAACAGAACCAAGAGGTTTTCCAAAAATGTAGTGGTTTGTAACCAAAGGTATACAATCAGAATAATTTATGGAGCTTAAAATATACACACGCACACAGATATCCAAGTCCTAAAGCTAAACCTAAACCTGCTGATTTTAAAATTCCAGGGGTGGAGGCCAGGCACAGTGGCTCATGCTTGTAATTCTAGTACTTTGGGAGGCGGAGGGAGGAGGATTGCTTGAAGACAGGAGTTTGAGGTTGAAGTGAGCTATGATAATGCCACTGCACTCTAGCCAGGGTGAAAGGACAAGATCCTGTCTCAAACAAATAAAAATAAAAAATAAATAAAATACCAGGGGTGGCACAAAGGCATCTATATTTTTTTTGAAAGTGCCTCAGGTGATTGTGATAGGTATGTCTGATAAAGAACTACTGTGACAGCTGGGCATGTACCTGCAGTCCCAGCTATTTGGGAGGCTGAGACAGGAGGATCACTTCAGCCCAGAAGTTCAAATCCAGCCTGGACAACATAGTGAGACTCTGTCTCTTAAAATAAAAAAAAGTTAGGCCGGGCGCGGTGGCTCAAGCCTGTAATCCTAGCACTCTGGGAGGCTGAGGCGGGTGGATTGCTCGAGGTCAGGAGTTCGAAACCAGCCTGAGCAAGAGCGGACCGTTCTACTATAAATAGAAAGAAACTAATTGGCCAATTGATATTATATATATAAAATTAGCCGGGCATGGTGGCGCATGCCTGTAGTCCCAGCAACTCGGGAGGCTGAGACAGAAGGATCGCTCGAGCCCAGGAGTTTGAGGTTGCGTGAGCTAGGCTGACGCCACGGCACTCACTCTAGCCTGGGCAACAAAGCGAGACTCTGTCTCAAAAAAAAAAATAAAAATAAATAAATAAACAAACAAACAAAAATAAATAAACTGGGGACAGGGTTGGTGGCTCATGCTTATAATCCTAACACTTTGGGAGGCTGAGGCAAGAGGATTGCTTGAGGCCAGGAGGTCCAGATCAGCTTGAGTAAGAGTGAAACCCATGTCTACAAAATAAAAAAAAATAAGCCAGGCACGGTGGTATGCACCTGTAGTCCCAGCTACTCAGGAGGCTAAGCAAGAGGATCGCTTGAGCCCAGGACTTCAGGTTGCAGTGAGCTATGATGCACCACCGTACTCTAGCCAGGGCAAAAGGGCAAGATCCTATCTCAATCAATCAATCAATACTGAAGGTATGAGGCCTGAGGAAGAAGGTATTGGAAGTGTAAGGTTCACATAATAAAAAGTATATTACCTTGGGAAAAGTCAACAAGAAAAATAAGTATACTTGTGTGATACGGGGATGGAAAAATAAAAGCCCAGGATATGATGAGCATGACTATGGACCACAGCACGTCTGAGAACACTAAATTAGATTTTCAAGTGTCAAAAGTCATTCCAGATGGCACTGAAAGGGCCACCAAATAACCATTTCAGGAGGCTGTCACAGTAAAGCCAAAAATTTTTTGATTTGGTGGCCAAAGATGGTGCTTAATAGAGCCTGGAAAACTACCTTCTCTGAAGAGTCCCTCCAGAAATGGTTCACACAATGGGTGTTTGATCCTCCAAGGCAGCCCTGTCTAATACAACATTCTGAGGTGGTGGAAATGCTCTTGGTCTGTATTGTCCATTATTGTAACGCTCCATGTTGCTACCAAGCACTTGAAACACAGCTAAGTGTATCTGAGGAACTGAATTTTTAGTTTTATCGTGTTTAATTTTAATTAATTTAATGTTAAATCGCCAAACTGACTAGAAGCTACTGCACTGGACAGCATAGCTCCAGAGGGTCATTCTCTCCTTCCACTTTGTCAGTAAGCAAACACAAAGTTCAAACCACAGTGAAGAGAGCCATCGGAACTGCAAGGCACAGCACGCACATGCTTCCATAAATATGTAAGGCAGAGGCCTATGACCACAGTCATCAGTTTAGAACCGATCTTTGAGTTTCAAGGCACAAAATGCCTAACTGAAAGAGAAATCCAAAACATTGAGTAAAGGACCAAATGCAACCATACATAGATGTTGTCTGATTTTCCTCACATTTAAAAAGACTCAGATACTTGATAATTTACTCTTGATAATAATATTGTAAGAAAAACATTTTGTTTCATTTTGATTTAACTCTAGTCTGGGCAACAGAGTGAGACCCTGTCCAACAACAGCAAACAACAACAAAACACAAAAACCAAACCTCAAAACATTAAAATCTGTATTGTCATTCTGCTCAGAAAAGTATAGAATATGTTTTCTCTTGCTTTTTTCTATCACACATGTATTTCTTTCTTCTTTCTTTTTTTTTTTTGAGCAAAGTCTCACTCTGTCTAGAGTACCGTCGGTCAGCTAGCTCACAGCAACATCAAACTCCTGGGCTCAAGCAATCCTCTGCCTCAGCCTTGCAAGTAGCTAGGACTACAGGCATGCAGCACCATGCCGGCTAATTTTTTTATATATTTTTAGTTGGCCATTAATTCTTTCTATTTTTTTAGTAGAGACAGGGTCTCCGCTCTTGCTCAGGCTGGTTTTTGCCATGGCACTCACTCTAGCCTGTGCAACAAAGTGAGACTCTGTCTCAAAAAAAAAAAAAAAAAAGTTAAAATAAATAAATAGGTTAATTAAGGTTCTGAAGCTGAGATGACCTTTAAAAACAAAACAAAAAATAAACAAAACAAAAAAATAAACTGGGGCCAGGGTTGGTGGCTCATGCTTATAATCCTAACACTTTGGGAGGCTGAGGCAAGAGGATTGCTTGAGGCCAGGAGGTCCAGATCAGCTTGAGTAAGAGTGAAACCCCATGTCTACCAAAATAAAAAAAAATAAGCCAGGCACGGTGGTATGCACCTGTAGTCCCAGCTACTCAGGAGGCTGAGGCAAGAGGATCGCTTGAGCCCAGGAGCTTCAGGTTGCAGTGAGCTATGATGCCACCACCGTACTCTAGCCAGGGCAAAAGGGCAAGATCCTATCTCAATCAATCAATCAATACTGAAGGTGTGAGGCCTGAGGAAGAAGGTATTGGAAGTGTAAGGTTCACATAATAAAAAAGTATATTACCTTGGGAAAAGTCAACAAGAAAAATAAGTATACTTGTGTGATACGGGGATGGAAAAATAAAAGCCCAGGGATATGATGGAGCATGACTATGGACCACAGCCACGTCTGAGAACACTAAATTAGATTTTCAAGTGTCAAAAGTCACTTCCAGATGGCACTGCAAGGGCCACCAAATAACCATTTCAGGAGGCTGTCACAGTAAAGCCAAAATTTTTTGATTTGGTGGCCAAAGATGGTGCTTAATAGAGCCTGGGAAAACTACCTTCTCTGAAGAGTCCCTCCCAGAAATGGTTCACACAATGGGTGTTTGATCCTCCAAGGCAGCCCTGTCTAATACAACATCCTGTGGTGGTGGAAATGCTCTTGGTCTGTATTGTCCATTATTGTAACTGCTCCATGTTGCTACCAAGCACTTGAAACACAGCTAAGTGTATCTGAGGAACTGAATTTTTAGTTTTATCATGTTTAATTTTAATTAATTTAATGTTAAATCGCCAAACTGACTAGAAGCTACTGCACTGGACAGCATAGCTCCAGAGGGTCATTCTCTCCTTCCCACTTTGTCAGTAAGCCAACACAAAGTTCAAACCACAGTGAAGAGGAGCCATCGGAACTGCAAGGCACAGCACACACAATGCTTCCATAAATATGTAAGGCAGAGGGCCTATGACCACAGTCATCAGTTTAGAACCAGATCTTTGAGTTTCAAGGCACAAAAATGCCTAACTGAAAGAGAAATCCAAAACATTGAGTAAAGGACCAAATGCATACCATACATAGATGTTAGTCTGATTTTCCTCACATTTAAAAAGACTCAGATACTTGATAATTTATTCTTGATTAAATAATATTGTAAGAAAAACATTTTGTTTTCATTTTGATTTAACTCTAGTCTGGGCAACAGAGTGAGACCCTGTCCAACAACAGCAACAACAACAAAACACCAAAAACCAAAACCTCAAAACATTAAAATCTGTATTGTCATTCTGCTCAGAAAAGTATAGAATATGTTTTCTCTTGCTTTTTCTCTATCACACATGTATTTCTTTCTTTCTTTCTTTCTTTCTTTTTTTGAGACAAAGTCTCACTCTGTCTAGAGTCTCACTCAGGCTAGAGTGCCGTGGCGTCAGCTAGCTCACAGCAACATCAAACTCCTGGGCTCAAGCAATCCTTCTGCCTCAGCCTTGCAAGTAGCTAGGACTACAGGCATGCACCACCATGTCCAGCTAATTTTTTCTATATATTTTTAGTTGGCCAATTAATTTCTTTCTATTTTTTTAGTAGAGACAGGGTCTTGCTCTTGCTCAGGCTGGTTTCGAACTCCTGACCTTGAGCAATCCACCTGCCTCGGCCTCTCAGAATGCTAGGATTACCACACATGTATTTCTTTCAAAGAACTGAAAAGAAATTTCCCTGCATGAATTCCTAAATGAAGATCTCTACAGAGTTTTTTTTAAGAGAACTTAAGTGCTTACACATGTATTATTTCATTTAATTCTCAAAATAACCACATGTAGCCAAGACAAGTACTATCCTCATCTTCACATATAGATGAGGAAACTAAAAAACCAAATGAAGTTGAAGTCATAAGTGGAAAACTAGATTTCAAAGGTTGTTCATTTTTCTCACATAGGCCACACTGTAAGCAATCAATGACACTGGGGAAGAAGACTATACCTCATATGAAAGGGGCACCTCAAGAAAGATGCACATACAATACAGGTGGAAGATGTATTACAAAGATGAGAGACTAAGCAGTTTGAGTTTCTCTTATATTTGAAAGAGAAATATAATATTTATGATCAAAATATTTAATCTGTCTGAAGTTGTGAATCATCATAGTATTAGAGCTCTGTTTCCTGCTTTGGTCTTGAATGTATTTGTTACCTCAAATGACTCCCCTGAAAAAGGTGTGTGGGTATGTGTGTGAACAAGGAATAAACCAACAGATAAAGCAAATGTGGCAAAATGTTTACAACTAGTGGATCTATAGGAAAGATTTACAGAAGTTCAATGTACTATTTCTTGTACCTTTTCTGTAAGTTTGGAATTTTTCAATATACAAAGTTTGAAAGAGAAAAGAATACCTGCTGTCTTTGTCCGTTCTTTCATTTATGAGAGGAATCCATCGACTCGTTACCTAAAACAAAAATTAACAAGAGCTAAGCCATGATGAGAATCTTTGAAAAGCACTCTGCCCTTAGACCCATGAAATTCTAAACTGAGGATCAACTTTGAAAGTGCCCCACTGAAATTTAAATATAATGAAAAAAAGATCACATATTCATACCTTATCAATAGAATGCTTGTTGTTAACAGCATAGACTATGCAGATGACATTAGCCTAGAAGGAAATTTAACAAATTAATGGTATTTTTAAATCATAAAAATGTAAACAGTAGCATTTAATTACCAAATAGTTAATACATCTGAGGCAAGGGAAGAAAACACTGTAAGAACTAAAAAAACAAAAACAAACAAAAAAACCCCCCAAAAAACAGCTTGCCTCTAAGAGGAAACAGGCCCTAAGGACTTACAGCAAAAATGCATACTCAGTATCAGCACTAATAATAAAGAACTGAAAAAGCACTCTTGGTGAGAAATTAAAAAGGTAGACTCATAGGATCATCACTGTTTTTACACACACACACACACACACACACACACACACACAAACCTACAACTATTTCTTTTGAAACTCACCTGTGATATTTCTTGATGAAGTTGTTCATCACTTTGTTCTGCTTCTAAAAATGACAAAAAGTCAATGCTCCATATTGTAAACACTGTCATAAAAACTAATGGTCAAGCTAAATAAAATATATGCAACACCCATCCAATATCCTTCAAAATGACATGCTACAGTGGACACTAGGTGGCAAACACAGGGCAAGCCAGGGGAAGGAAACAGTTAAACTATGATAAGATAGCTGGCTAGCATTAAAAGACGAGTCTACAAGGGGATAACTCAGGCCCAGAAAAGCAGAGGCATTGTATAATATAATAAATCTAGGCCGACATCTGATCAAGAGTTGAAAAGAGTCAGACAAAAGAGATCAGAAACCCAAGCAAGACAACTAGGTGCTGAAGAGTGAGAAGCTTGGACAAAGAGTCTATACACACAGAGTCAAAAGGCCAGATGAAAATCTGGGTAATACAAGCTTAAGATCTAGATAGCAGATGGGAGTAATAATAACCAGGCCCAGAAGCAAAACTATAGCACATTAATGAAGAGTCAAGAATTCCTTCTCATAAACCTCTAGCTAGAACTGGTCTCAATGACTGGATGTGACTGCAATTCTATAAATGCAAGGGATATGCATGATATAGCTAGTATGAGGAAACAAAGAATTGATAAGCAAAGCAATTACTGGCATATTAATTTAGACCATCTCAGGTTACAAATGTCTCCCCCAGAAATGCCTGTTATTTCTGACATATAAACTAATATATATGAGTTCAATGGTATTTTATATGATGCTAAATAACAGGCTACATTTTTAATATCTTTCCATATGTTGCATAATCAATGGGTTAAGGCTTCAATTCTAATACTGAAGTGAATCTAATTATATGGCTATGCATATTGAAAAAGAACAATTCCGCAAAAAAAGCAGTTATGGGACTGATTGTAACAGAAGACATTCATCCTCCCTCAGCTTATAATACACAGTGCTGTCCAACGAACAATGCAAGCCATGTAAGTAATTTTTTTGTAAAGAGACAAGGTCTCGCTCTGTTGCCTAGACTGGAATGCAGCAAGCTGATCATAGTTCACTGTAACCTCAAACTCCTGGACTCCAGCAATCCTCCCACCTCAGTCTCCCAAGTAGTTAAGTCCATAGGTATGCACCACCAGTCCCAGTTAAATTTTTAATCTTTTGTAGAGACAGCCTATATTGCCTAGCCTGGTCTCAAACTCCTGGCCTCAAGTGATCCTCCTACCTTGGCCTCCCAAAATGCTGGGATTATAGGTATGAACCACCATACCCAGCCTCACATATGTAATTTTTAATTTTCTAATAGTAACCTTTAAAATAGGTAAGTAAACAGGTAAAATTAATTTTTATTTAACCTGGTATCAAAAATATTTAAATTTGAACATGTACTCAATAGAAAAAATGACTAATGAGATATTTTACATCCTTTTTTCATTCTAAGTCTTGAATATCCAGTTGTATTTTACACTTACAGCACATTCCAATTTAGAATAGTCACATTCAAGTGTTTAATAGCCACAGGTATTGAACAGTGTAGTTCTAGTGTTTCTTTTTTAGAATATATGGAATACCAGCTAAGCCAAACAAAGTGTTATTAATGATTTATGCCCATTTTTAAAAAAAGAAGTTCTAGAACAAAACAAGATAATAGTTCCACAGTATGTAAAAAAAATTTAGGTTATTGAAAGCAAAACTGATGTGTTTCTAATATCATATATATATATATATATATTTTTTTTTTTTATTTATTTATTTTTTTTTTTGAGAGACAGAGTCTTGCTTTGTTGCCCAGGCTAGAGTGAGTGCTGTGGTGTCAGCCTAGTTCACAGCAACCTCAAGCAATCCTCCTGCCTCAGCCTCCCACGTAGCTGGGACTACAGGCATGCGCCACCATGCCCGGCTAATTGTTTCTGTATATATTAGTTGGCCAATTAATTTCTTCCTATTTATAGTAGAGACGGGGTCTAGCTCTTGCTCAGGCTGGTTTCGAACTCCTGACCTCCAGCAATCCGCCTCGCCTGCCTTGGCCTCCCAGAGTGCTAGGATTACAGGTGTGAGCCACCACACCTGGCCTAATATCATATATTAATAATAAGAGCAAGCTGACAATTGTTTTAATTATCTTATTTAGAACAAAAATACTGACAAATTAAAGAACAAATTCAGAACTCAACAAATTCTCAAATTTGGAACTCTTTCTAAATCACAAGAGCATGCTTGAACGCCTGATAACAAAACTGACCCAGAACTTCTCTCTGCAAACATGCCAATTCAAGGAGGGTAATGCCTGCTGGTCATTTACCATTCCTCCTTCCTTTGCATTATTATGGAACCCAACTTAGTAATTTGGGGACAGAGAATTGCCAGACAGAGGCTTTGGATGGGGTGTGGGGTTTGTCAGAGAGACATAAATGAGACAAGAATCGTAAAGGATCATTTACTGCTACAAAGAAAGGATCACTTTTCTTGGAACATTTTTAAAACCTAGTTAAGCATCTTTTCCCAAGAGTAGTTAACTCTACACTTTTCACCTACAAGAGGATATTTATTACCTGAGTAATCTACAATGTGTGTTGGAACTCTCTCAGGAGTGACATCAGCTGGAATGGTTATTTCTTCTGCCCGAGGAGGAACCTTTGTTTGCAAACAAATATAGAAAAAGAAAAACCTTTGGATATTATCAATCAAACTTGTAAACATATTATATAACTCTATCTATACAGGTTGAATATCCCTAATCCAAGATGCCAAAAACCAGCCAGGTGCAGTGGCACATGCCTATAACCCCAGCACTTTGGGAAACTGAGGCACATGGCTTGTTTTTTTATGTGTTTTTTTCTTTTGAGACAGAGTCTTACTCTGTTGCCTGGGTTAGAGTGGCATGGCGTCAGCCTTGCTCATAGCAACCTCAAACTCCTGGGCTCAAGCAGTCCTTTTGCCTCAGCCTCCCGAGTAGCTGGAACTACAGGCATGCGCCACCATGCCCGGCTAATTTTTTCTATATAGTTTTTAGTTGTCCAGCTAATTTCTTTCTATTTTTTTTAGTAGAGACGGGGTCTCACTCTTGCTCAGGCTGGTCTTGAACTCTCGAACTCACACAATCCTCCCACCTCAGCCTCCCAGAGTGCAAGGATTATAGGTGTGAGCCACTGCCCCTGGCCCCTGAGGGTTGTTTGAGGCCAAGAGTTTGAGCCCAGCCTGGGCAACATAGCAAGACCTCATCTCTAAAAAAAAAAAATTAGCCAGGTGTGGTGGTACACACCTGGAATCCCAGCTTCTTGGGTGGCTGAGTTCAAGGCTGCAGTGAGCTGTGATTACATTGCTGGGACTACAGGCATGAGCCACCAAGCCTGGCTAATATTTTTATTTTATTTTTCAGTAGAGATGGGGTCTCACTATATTGCTCAGGCTGGTCTCAAACTCCTGGCCTTAAGTGATCATCCTACCTCAGCCTCCCAAAGTACTAGTATTAAAGGTGTGAGCCATTGCACCCAGTCTAGATTTTATATATGTTGTTTTCTTTTTTCCTTCTTTTTTTTGAGACAGAGTCTCACTCTGTCACCTGGGGTAGAGTACAGTGGCCTCATCATAGTTCACAGCAACCTCAAACTCCTAGGCTCAAGTAATCCTCTTGCCCTAGCCTCTCAGGTAGCTGGGATTATAGGCGTGTGCCACCATGTCTGGCTAATTTTTCTATTTTTAGTAAAGATGGGGTCTTACTCTTGCTCAGGATGGTCTTGAATCCCTGAGCTCAAGCAATCCTCCTGCCAAGGCCTCCCAGGATGCTGAAATTACAGGAGTACTCTTTTTTTTTTTTTAAAGAGACAGGGTCTCCATTTCCCCACATTGTCCAGGCTGGTCTTAAACTCCTGGCCTCATGCTATCCTCCTGCCTTAACTTCCTGAGTCACTAGGATTATAGGCATGAGCCATCACACTCAGCTCATTCTATTTTCTGTTTGTTTTAAGTTAACACATGAAGTACTGATCATTCTATTTTGCTGAAGGCTTAAGATACTCTGCAAATGAGGAGCTGAATTAATTCAAAATAATTTCAAATAAACCAATAAATTATCAAAATTTATTTCTTCTAGAAGATAACTGATTGGCTACATAAGCCTGGTATTTAATGATTCCATTTTTCAAAGTGTATGAGTTTTTAATTAATTAAAAAACCTTACCAACACTCAAGAGAACTATGCTAAATCAAACTAAGTTAAACTATCACAGACAACTTTTAGGTATTATACGGAGTGATTATAAGTTAACAATACTGATTACACAAACAACACATGAAAATATACATTTCTTAAATTAAGTAATTACTTATTTAACTATCTTATCTAAGAAAAAAAAGCAAAACATCAATGGTCATGTGGCAGCTATAAGTGTTGAAAACAACTATTACATAACACATCACATTCCTGTCTGAACAATGAAATTATAAAGCTATTCCTACCTAACCTAAAGATAGGATAAATGTAAACTGTGACACTAATAATACCTTCTATGTAAGAAATACATAGAAATCATTTTTATCCCATTGCATGGATCCCACTCCCTGTAACAATATCCTAAATTTACATAAAGATTTAGTCAATAGCCCCACACACTGGAATTTCCAAAATATACTGCCAGTAGTAATAAAACCACCTTACTACTTTTGGTGGCAGTTCACTACTATTGAGTTCATCTCATTTGAGATCTACAACAATCCTTTGAGGTAGGCAAAGGTGGAATGAATTAGTTTCATCATTTGTAAAGCAAAGCAGGCAGATAATATTAAAGGTTTTCGAAATTATGTGTCAGAATTTTAGTGGTTCTGACCAAAACACCTCAAAGACTGGGAAGTACCGGGCAGAAGTGAAGCGGGGATCCACATCTTTCATCCTAACTTCAACGGGAATGCTCATCATATCTTTTACATTTTGAACTTATGAGTGACATTTTACTTTTAAGAAAGGGTTGTAGAGCTTAGATAGATGATTTCCCTTCCACTCCCATTTCACAGATGAGATAACTGAGTCACAAAGAGGACAAATGCCCCAGACAAGGTCAAAGGTGGGAAAGGCAAAGGACTTAGGCAAACTTAGATCTAGTTCGGTTCTTTCTTCTATACCGTGTTTCACAGATGTCCTCTATAAACTAAGATGAACCTTTTAAAAGGTCACAATTGTCATCACTGAAGCATTTCCTTCAGTTAAAAAACAAAGGTCACAACTGTCAGGAAACACGTGCAAAAAAAGGGTAGAGTTTATTTCACTTTAACTCAATTTTGATCAATTTACAAAATTGTAAATATGTAAAAGAAATAAAATGTTTACCTCTTCTGGAAATTCTTCACTGACGAGAGACATAATCAGTGATGTCTTCCCAACTCTAGCTGTGAAAAGAAAAATTATTACTTTAGTAAAGTGTTTAGATTCTACATAAGCTCAGATTCAGCGACCACATAAGGAAGTCTGTTATTTGTTATGTAAAATCAAATACATCCAAATTACCAAGTTTTAGTATAATGCTTAAAAGTACATCTTTTTTTGCTGCTTAGAAAAGTAACATATACTTGGTCGGGTGTGGTAACTCACACCTGTAATCTCAGGACTCTGGGAGGCCGAGGCCGAAAGACTGCTTGAGCTCAGAAGTTCAAGACCAACCTGAGCAAGAGTGAGACCGGTCTATATTAAAAATAGAAAAATTAGCCGGGTGTCACGGAGCACGCCTGTAGTCCCAGCTACTCAGGAGGTTGAGGCAGGAGGATTGCTTGAGCCCAGGAGTTTGAGATTGCAGTAAGCTAGGATGATGCTACTGTACTCTAGCCAGGGTCACAGTGCAAGACTCTGTCTCCCCCCAAAAATTAACACATACTCATTGGTTTTAAAAAAAATTACCAAAATATATAATGTGAAAGTAAAAGTCTCCTATTAAATCCCTCACTAACAGTTTAATATTTATATTCTCCCAGATTTTTCCTATACTTATGTTAACTTATAATAGTTTACCATAGTGGAATCATGGTATTAACACTACTATGCAGTTTTTCTTTATCAATTAATTATGCATTTAGGCAATATTCCATGTCAATACATAAAAACCACCTGGGAGGGGAGAAAGGAAGAGTTATTGTATAATGGGTACAGAGTTTTTTGTTTTTGAGACAGAGTCTCACTTTGTTGCCCAGGCTGGAGTGAGTGCCATGGCATCAGCCTAGCTCACAGCAACCTCAAACTCCTGGGCTCAGCGATCCTACTGCCTCAGCCTCCCAAGTAGCTGGGACTACAGGCTTGCACCACCATGCCGCCCGGCTAATTTTTGTTATATATTTTTTTAGTTGGTCAATTAAATTTCTTTCTACTTTGGTAGACACGGGGGGGGTCTCTTCAGCTGGTTTCGAACTCCTAACCTTGAGCAATCCCCTCTTCGCCTCCCCAAGTGTTAAAGGATTACAGGCGTGAAGCCACCTCGCCTGGCTTGTCATACTTTTTGATCATAATAATTAGTATTGTTAGACATTCAATTGCTTATCAACTAAATCCTTTTATGATTCTAGAGGAAAACAGTCTACCTGCCTATTACCTCTGCATAATAGCAAATTGTTTTCAAAGTAAAGTCTAAATGGGAATTTTCTTTTAAAATAAGCGAAAGTTGCATTGCCTTCTTAAATGATTAAAACGAAAGAGTAACTGAAACGCAAGTCAAGTCTCTGGGAAAATAATAAAATGGCTGGAAGACAGGAAGGATATCAAAACAACTTAGAGGGTGCTGTGAACAACTTGAGTACTGATGGTTTAACAGGTGTCTTCTAGTGATTTCTATGGATCTTTTCAAACTGACTTTGTTGTAAGAAAGACGTATGGGCCCTTTCCAAGTGGCAGCCAATAAGGTTAACGTTCAGGTTCCGATGAATGTCAGTGAATTCAGAGACAATTCATCATACAACTGCTGGAACCTAGTCAACAATGTCAGTTTATTCGGACTCCCTGCAAATTTTCAGATGAGGAAATGGGACCCAGAGAGTGATTTTCCTAAAAGGCCTCCACAAGATTAGCACAGGTCAGGGTGGTGGCCTCATCCTGCATCCCCAGCAGTTTGGGAGGCTGAGGCAGGATGAATTGCTTGAGCTAGGAGTTTAGAGAACAGCCTGATCACCATAATAAAACCCCAATCCTGTACAAAAAAAAAAATAAAAAATTATCCAAGGCATAGTGGGCTGCGATCCTAATAGTCTCAGCTATTGGGAGCTTGAAAGCAAGAGGACTGCTTGAGTCTAGCGTCTGAAGCTACAGTGAGGCTATGTCAGTGCCACTGGCACGCAGCCCTGAGTAACAGAATAAGATCCTGGTCCAAAAAAAAAGGTTAGTTGCAAACTGACTCATCTCTGGCTGGCAAGCCAGTGCTTTCTCTTTACTATGTTCATGACTTAAAAAAAAAACTAACAGTTAATAATGACAAAGAGGAATGGTACCCTAAAGATAGCATGGATCACATACACAACACACTGTTTTTTTAAACGCTTAATTAATCTTCAGGTTGATAGTGGTAGGAAAAAAAAAGAAAAGAAATAAGAAATAGCTAATTAAAAATTTATGATCACTGTGACTAATCATCAGCTCTGGCTCAGTTTTCTTTTTTTTCCTTTAAGCTTATTTGAGAAATTTAGTACAGAGAACTGCCAAAATAATACAAAGAGATTCGTGTCTATCCTTTACCAGTTCCCCACAGGTTACATTTTACCATATTAGCAATACAATTGTTCCCCTATAATATATATGTATATATTTTTTTTTTTAAACCATTTGAAGAGTAAGTGTCCTTAGTGGTGTATTTTTCTAAAAACAAGGTCATCTCTTTTACATAAACATACTACAGCCATCAAAGAGTAGGAAATTAACACCATACCATCCTATAGACCTTACTCACATCTTAGTCAATTGTCTCACTATTATCCTTTATAGCAAAGAAAAAAAAAATTTTTTTTTCCGTGGTCCCCAGGCATCAAACTACTGGCATTTGGTTGTCGATGTTCTTTAGCTTTCTTTAAATTGAAAGAGTTCTGTATCTTTTGTTTTCATGACTATTTATTTTAATGTTTTTGCATTTTTGGCAGATAATCCAGAATGATGACTGTGTTCCCTCTCAGTGCACCCTCATAGCAAAGCAGATAACATCAATTTTGTCCATTATAGGTGAGGTCCACTGTGATTCAACTTGATGGGTGGTATCTACCAAGGTTCTATACTTCTGAAGTTATTAATTCTTCCTTTGTATTAATAAGTAATCTGTAAGGATACTAGTAAATACTCCTCAAATGTCTCATCAACTTTTGCCTACAAGATCTCAGCACTCATTGAAACGATTCTGCTTAATCGAAACATTGCTGTAGTAGTTATAAGATAGTGAATTTTTCTATTTCATCAATGTCTAACAATACTTCACATTGTACTGTAAGGAAAAACTTTCCCTTATGATTTCCTCTCTCTCTCTCTCTCCTCACACACACACACACACACACACACAACACACACGACACACACAGCACAGAAGAGGCAAATACTTTGTTTCACTTTATTGCACTTTGTGCAGATACTGCGTTTTTACCAAATTGATGGGTTTGTGAAAACTCTGTTTTGAGCAAGTCTATTGGATGCCATTTTTCCAGTAATGTATGCTCACTTTATGTCTCTGGGTTACATTTGGTAATTTCGAACATAGTTCCAGCTTTTTCATTATTTGTTATAGTCTGTTATGGTGATCTGTGATCGAAGTGGATTTTTTTTTTGGGAGACAGAGTCTCACTCTGTTGACAGCCTGAATGCCATGGTGTCAAGCCTAACTCACAGCAACCTCAACCCTGGTTCAAGCAATCCCTTGCCTCAGCCTCCTGAAGTAAGCTGGGACTGACAGCATGCACACTATGCTCGCGGCTAAGCTTTTTGTACATATATTTTAGTTGTCAATTAAGTTTCTTTCTATTTAGTAGAGACGGGGTCCGCTCTTGCCAGGCTGTTTCGAAATCCTGACCCTTGAGCGTCCACCAGCCTCGGCCAGAGTGGCTAGATTATCATGTGATCAGTAATCTTATTTTTTTTTTTTTTTTAGAGACAGGGTCTTGTTATGTTGCCCAGGCTGGAGTGCAGTGGCTATCATAGGCACCTTCCCCACTACGCCAACGGCAACAGAGAATTTTGACCTGCTCCATTTCCAACCATGGGCCAGTTCAGCCGCTAAATTAGGCCATCTGGAGGTCTTCCATTCCCAAAGGTCATGATATTGATGCCAAACTTAGTGCAGACACCAGAATCGCATAGCCACACTACAGCTCAGCATCTCAAGCAGGATAAGCATCCTCCCACCTCAGCTCCCAAGTAGCCTGGTCCACCGGCACTTGCAACCTGTAATACTATAATGTTCTGGCCACCAAGAATCGTGCTCATATTAGACAAGAAATTTATCTATAAATGTTTGTAGTATCTGACTGCGTCATTGACCCAGCTGTTCTTCTGTCTTTCTTCTCTCTATCTCATCTTGGGCCCTCCTTATTCCCTGAGACACAACAATCCTGAATTAGGCTGATTTACAACCCTACAGTCCTCTAAGTGTCGTAAAGGAAATTGCACATCTCTCACTTTAAATCAAAAGCTAGAATGAATTAGGCTTAGTGAGAAAAGGCATGTTGAAAGGTGAGATCAATGGCCTGAATTACTGCATCTCAAGATAAACTTGAACAAATGAGGGAATTACTTATAAGCATGAAACAAAGAAGTGGTCTTGAGTGTGGTTCTGGTGAAAATGTCGTGAACACTGGTTGCAAATACGAGCAAAGGATTTGGAGATTACCATACACTTAGCTGATGAGCAGTGGCAGGTTTGGGAGGATTGAATCTAATTTTGAAAGAAGTTTAACTGTGGCAAACATGCTATCAATACATCAATGCTATGCAGAGAAATCTTTTGAAAGGAAGAGTGAATTAATGTTGCCTGTTTTTAAAAATTGCCACAGCCACCCCAAACCTCCAGCAAGCCCACCCTGATCAGTCAGCAGCCATCGACACTGAGGTAAGACCCTTCACCAGCAAAATAAGATTACAACTCACTGAAGGCTCAGACGATGTTTGGCATCTTTTTAGCAATAAAGTATGATTTAATTAAGGGTTTTAAAAAAAATTACAGTTTTTTAAGACATGATATTTGAAACACTTAATGGACTACATATGTACAATGTAGTTTCCCAGTGCATATAACTTTTTTATTGCTGTGGTGGCAGAACCAAACTTGCAATGATCCAAGGTATGCATGTTATATATGAGTATAGACCTGATGGATTTCTCATATCATCCTATTATTTTATAGGTTGTAATCCACTGATTGTCATTATTGTGGAGGCTC